GGAGAGAATAAAAGAAGAAAAAGAAGAAAAAAGAAAAAGAAGAAAAAGAAAACGAAAAAAAAGAAAAAGAAACCGAAGACTCAAGAAGAAAAAGAAGACGACAGAGAAGAAAAGAAAGGGAGAGAATAAAAGAAGAAAAAGAAGAAAAAAGAAAAAGAAGAAAAAGAAAACGAAAAAAAAGAAAAAGAAACCGAAGACTCAAGAAGAAAAAGAAGACGACGGAGAAGAAAAGAAAAGAACAGAATAAGAGAAAAGTAAGAAGAAAAAAGAAAAGAAAAAGGAAAAAAAAAAGAAATTGAAGAAGAAAAAAATGAAGGAAAAGAAAAAAGTAGTTTTCAACCGCACTGAATAACTGTGGTATATTATCATTAACTTATTTCAACGATGCCAGATATCACCACAAACCATTCGAACAATTGCGTATATATATATATATATATATATATATATATATATATATATATATATATATATATATATATATATATATATATATTTGGTTGGATAGATGTGAGTTTGTGACCCTGGGTTTCACGCTTTAGCTATTGTCTGACGATCGCTAAAGCGTGAAACCCAGGTCACAAACTCACATCTATCCAACCAAATATGTTAGCTCTATCTCTGATATTGAGCGCTTTCTAATAAGTATGTATATAATATATAAATAATTATACATATATATATTTATTTATATTTATATACACTTTTCACACACACACACATACATATATATATATATATATATATATATATATATAAAGACATTTTTATGTTTAACGTTCTTTTTTTTTATAGATACAAGTATTTAAGTAAATGCTCTTTTATAATAAACAGTATTAAATAACATTTACCGGCCTGAATGTCCGAGAAAGTTTCATAGAAAATATTCGTCCTTTGACAGGATTCGAGCCTGCATCCTATACGGAACCGTCATTTACTTGTATCCATAAAAAAAGAACGTTAAACATAAAATGTCTTTAATAAATAAATTGGCTGACTTTGTCCATTTTCTTTTAATATATATATATATATTTATATATATATATATATATATATATATATATATATATATATATATATATATATATATATATATATATATATAGAGAGAGAGAGAGAGAGAGAGAGAGAGAGAGATATAGAAGTTATTTAATTAAAAGAACTTGTACATTTTATATCGACAAAGTTGTAAACAATTTTACGCTATTATAAGAAGTGGATAACGACTTTCCATTTTCTTACAGTAGGGGTCATAATTCCTTCCTTTTAACCGATTTTTAAATTTGAATTCCTCTTCGTTTTTGTGACGACATCTGCTGTTAAGATTACAACATTTCATGCTTTATAATCCATTTGTGAAGCAAGCATACAAAGAAATAAAAAAAAAAACAAGAACTTTAATCTAAAACCCAATTATAAATCTCACAATATATGTTCCTATTTCAGTTACACTCATTTAGCTTAGATCAAATGATTCAGAATACAATGTGGCAATTCTGAGAGAGAGGAATATGTCGACTTAAATATTGCAACCATTATATTATTCGTCAAATATATAATTATTACAGTAATGAAAGAAAATGTTTCTGATATTTCTTTTAAGAAATCTATTACATTTTTAAAAAGATTTTCCCAGGATGTACACTGGTGATCTCATGAAAGGGAGGGGTCAAAACAAACATTTCAAGATACAAATTACAAAATGAAGTTATCAAAATCAACCACGTACAACAATTTAAACATCTGAAAAATATTTTGACAGATGACAAAAAGTGCGACGCTGAAATCTGAGTGCACATTGAGAAAGAGAATTACCTTTCAGAAACTAAGCAAGGTATTAAGAAACAAGAAAATTTCTTTCGAAAGAAATAAAAGTTTACTTAACTGCACGTCCTGTGTATGGCAATTAACTACATACGCGTCTTGAGTAAGACGATAAACTACGTTTAAGAGAAAGGCTTCTGATCAGGAGGTTTTGAGCAGCATGGAACCACCTCATAATTGCTGGTGTTCCGAGGTCCACTCAGACCAAGTGTGGTAGCACCTGTTAGGGTCCCAGCTATGGGTAAATAGTTAACTCCCAAACTAGTGTCAAAACACTATGAAAATGTAAAAAATAGTTTTTAATACCAGAAATACTGTGTAAAAAATTATTACCAGCAATAAATGTTTAAGAACTATTATTGCCTGCAATATATTTTGGGAAAAAATATTACCAGCTATACATTTTTGAAAAAAAAAATATTACCAGCAATAAAAATCTTGTTGACATTAAATAATTGAGGTTGATATCCCGTAAAACAAACCAACCCAAAACAAACCTTAACTGTTATGTACTATCGGTCCACATATATTGTAGTGTTTGCTGGTCAATCCTCTCACAGATGGAGATAAAACTTCAAGCAAGAGAAATTTGGTTCAATTAGACGAATAATGAGAATACCTAACATATGAACAACGTGAAGTTTCAGATAAAATGCATGTAACAAGGACACTTGCACTTAACATCAGAATGAGACAATTGAAATTTCTAGGTCACATAATGAGGAAAGAGTGCTTGGAAAGTTTAATACTCACAGGGCAGATTGAAGGCAAGAGGAATAGAGGAATACTACGCGTAAGCTACCTATGGTAGAACAAGGTGTAGGGCCGATAACAAAATGGCAATGATTATTAAGAGCTACAAATGAGAGGAAGTTGTTGAAAACCATGATCTCCAGCGTCCTGAAGGGACACACACAGAAGAAGGAGAATCCTGGAAATATAACTGTAGCGATTTTTTCAATCTATCCTAAATGTTTCATACTGAGTGTTGGCTAGCATTGTCACTCCGAATGATGACATATTTTTACTGACTACATTGAGGTTATTTAGTAATATAATTTAGTTATCCATTCGTTAACATAGTTACCAGTCTTATTGTCAATAAGAAAAAGCCACCGTTAATGTAAGACTTAATTTTTTTTGTAAAATAGCCTTGCCTTCAGATTGATCGTTTGATCTGTTTTGATGGCATATAATCTCTGTTGATTATTTAATAACGAAAATATATATTTTAAATATATGGTTTAAACAATCCTTTGGTTAGTCGGTTCTATCAATCTCCAGTTATGTCTCTAGATCAGCGTTATTTCGTTCTATAATTTGTTGTATACACTAGCCGCCTTCAAGTAGGCTAGGATACTCTGCACTTTTATCTTCTCGAAAAGGTCCACTAAACTAGTCCTTCGATGAAATCATTGATCTATAGGGAAAAAGTCACTGCAATCGGGTAGAATATGTTTTATTTACGGTATAATGGCTCCTGACATGCTGTGCATTTCGGGGGATGTTCATTTTTTAGGTGAATGATGGAGCTGTTTCCTCTACTGTTTCTTGATTTTTTTCCGAAACCATGATGAAGTCTGAGACCATGATGCCATTTTCATAGGAGGCGTTTTATTTTGCAAAGTTTGTTGTTTTGATGCTAATATGTTATTTCCCATAAACGCCTTATTCTATTTATTAAACAATCTTTATTATGTATCTTAGCCTGCGAATTCAAGAAATTTTACAAAAGAAAACTGGGATGACAAAGAAGTAAATAAGTAATAATAAATAACAAAATTGCACTATCTCTAAAAATAGACGGATAATAAATATCGCCAGGGAAACAAAGCCATAGTTCGACCAAGCAATCAAAAGCCTTTCACAACCAGGGTGTAAGAAAAAAATAATGAGAAGTATACCAAAATTTCACCATCTCTAAAAATAGATAGTTCGACCAAGCAATGAGACAACTTTCATAACCAGGATATAAGGCCGAAAGCCAATGAAAGAAAGCGCATTTTTCAAATCGATTCTATATTTGTGTATATAAACAGATGGAAAATCAACCAAACCAAAAGTCTACAAATTAATTCTGTCCATTCTCCAGTGATGTGGTCATCATAATATACCCAAAGATAAAATACATTTCCATGACTAGCTGGTGACCTTACAGGGCAAATCTTTCATTGATATATAGCTTCTTTTACCACCACCGCATACGTATACATATATATTTACTTCCTTCTCGGACTATTTCTCTGTCTAATTATCTCTTGTATACTCCAGGACTTTTATACTTGAACACTTGAAGCTTGAACTTTCACCTTATTCTTCTGTATTACTATACGGTGAATATAATAATTTTATTTTGTATTTATCAACACCGTTTGAATTTTATTATAATCATTACACCAGATCGAGGGTTAACCATTACACGTCGGCGTGGTGTAATGGTTAACAAGTTTATTTCGCAAGAATAATTACGACTGTGTAGTGTGTTCGATTTATACTGGGCACTCCATATTTTCGGCCTTGTGCCACATATAAGCTACGCATAGAACACCACCATTACATGAGACCAATACACAGTCAAATCAATTATACCATTATATGGTTACAACAGTCGTTGTCATAAGATAAACAGCTACGTCCGAACTGATAACCTCGTACCTAAAACCGCCATTATATCCGGCAGTCTTTCACAATCGGCCACGAAGAACGTGACAATAAGCAAGGCTCTATTTTCTCTTTTTAAGGACAAAACATTTTAGTAAGCAAGACGATTTTAATTTTCTAAAGAAAAACAGAGCCAGCTGAAAGATCTGGGACATAATGAGGAAGTGATGAAAATTTGACACTCACAGTATATAGCAACGGTAAGAGGTATAGGTGGTTACAACAGTCTAAATATTAGGTTGGTGCAAAAATAATGACGTAATAATGTCGTTTTTTGACGTTACGTCAAAAACGACATTATTACGTCATTATTTTGCACCAACCTAATATATGACGAACTTAGGCGAACAGATGACAGAACGGCGTGTGGGATGAATAGTAGAAAGTCAGCTACTTTAAGAGCTACAAAGGATAGGAAGTTGTGTAGAGCCATGATCGCTAAGACCATGAAGGGACGTAACGTATAGAAGAAAATAGAGGACATAGGAATCTATGCTGTATCGAGAGTGTCCTCAATGCTATCTATCTATCTATCTATCTATCTATCTATCTATCTATCTATCTCAGCTTTGTTCGTAATATTTTTCTGTCCGTTTCTGTCTCTCTCAATCTATCTCAGATTATTCGTCATATCTCTATCCGTCTCTAGCTGTCTTTCTCTTAGTATCTATCTATCTATCTATCTATCTATCTGTTATTTACACGGTGACGCCTGGGCTGTACCGTTGGACATCTCGAAAGCCTTTGACAGGGTTTAGCATATAGGTCTACTCCAGAAGCTGACACATCTTTGAACTGATCCGCGCTTTCCTATCAAATCGTGAAATGGCGGCAATTATGAACGGCCACTCGTTTAGATACTGTCGTGCTAACGCTGGTGTCCCCCAGGACTCCATCATTGGTTCTGCCCTGTTTTAAATTTTCTTTAATGACCTTCTCGATGATATCAGCTCTCAAATTGGCATCTACGCTGATGGCACAACCATTTATTTCTGCCTAGTTAGTAAAGCTGAGTAAAGCTGATCACCAAGAGAAGAACAAAATGGCAGCCGATGTCGAAAACGACCTCAAGTCTGATGTTAACCGGGGCAAACGATGACTTGTTAATTTTAACACATCCAAAACAACTCTTCTCTCCATTAATCACCTGAGAGTTCCCACTCTGGCTTTAATCAGCATTAAAAATGAAAGTGACCTGTTGCGCCTTCTCGAGCTAACGTTCAGTTAACACGAAGTGGAAAGGCTATATTGAATCCATTGCTAGGTCAACCGCAAAGCAAAATTGATCCATTATGTCATGCGATGCAATTTTCCTCACTGTTGCGCAATATTTGGATTTTTATACATATTACTAGCGGAACTGAAGTATCAGATACAACACAAAGATAAAAACTTGAATAAAGTTGTCGGATCCTCATATGTTGGAATCGGGCTGACTTAACTGACATAAAGTGGAAAGACTCTACTGAATCCATTGCTAGGTCAGTTGATAAGAAAGTTGGTTAACTGACAATTTTTCTCTCTAAAATATATCTAACATATCTATAAGTCTACAATTCGTTCATGCTTAGAATATTGCTGCTACATATGATCCTTGCTATTTACTTTGAGGTCCTTGATAATATCCAAAGAAGAATCAGCAATATTACTGATCCTGATCTGGCGCATCGGCTTCAGTCACTTTCTCACCCCTGTAAGGTTGTCTCTCTGTGTCTTTTCTATAAATAATTTCATAGTAATTATTCCGATCAGCTCTTCGCTATGATACCTAAACTTTTTAAATTTAAACACAGTGCTAGACTGGCATTGAGATCTCAAGAATTTAAGGTAGAGCTGGCAAGATGCAACCGTAGATTCTATGCTAACAGTTTCTTTGCGCACATTTCACGCTTGTTGAACTCCCTTCCGGTCCCATTCTTTCCAGCCAACTTTAATCTGTAAATATTTAAATGTATCGTCAATAGCTCTCTACTGTAATCCTGATTACTCTTTCCTCTTCCCGCTCATGTGTCTGCTCCTAATTCTTCTTCACACTGTAACTCCTTCTGTTAATAGCTTTAGTGCTTGCATGGGGTAATATCGATTAATAAAAATATATCTATATCTGTATACTTGCATATGCGATAAATGTGACAGGAGGAATAACCTAACGTGTGGGGTGTTTCAGAAAACGTGCAAAAAGCGCTCCATAATCTCACCCGTTTCATTAAAATCCACAACTAACTTGGACTGAATTTTTTTTAAAAAGTAAAAGACAGACCTTCTACAGAAAAAAATAGGTTGTCTGGTCTGCAATAAGCATTGAATTCACTTGCTGATACGTTGCCGATCTCACGAGAACTAAGACCATCGGTCAGATTTGCCAGTGATGGTTGTACTCGTTTGAAGAATCGACAGCCATAATGCTTCTACGTTTAATCTGTTGTCGCTCTGTAGATACGAATCGTCTGAACGTGCAGACATAAGCCAAGCTATAGTATTAATGACGGACGGAGATTTTTCACAGCTAGAAAATACGAAAATTCTCTAGAGTTGTAAATTGAAATTCTTTTTAAAAGCTACAGATCGCGAGATAGACGGCCAGTTAAAGCATTTCAGTGGTTATCATCAAATCGTTTTGTTTTTGTTTTGTATTTTTTCACATTGCCGCAGATAAATAAATCTCCAATATAACAGAAAACAGTTTTCCTTTAACAGATGAACTTTCTGGCTTCACGAAAGATATCTCAAATTAATCAGATTAATTTTTTTAAAAAAATGTGTTTATGAAATGTATTATTTTAAATGCATTTGAAATAAAGACGGCTAGAAATAGACGCCTTTTTCATGGCAAAACGTTTAAACGTGTTCTCGAGATCAATTCCGGATTAACAGAATGGTGTTAATTCAGAACACAGGAATCCTTTAACAAAAGTATAATCCTTTGGGGAAAAAATTATGGGTTAATCTACCTTTCTATATTTCTAAGGTGAAGTACTATGTACACTATTTACATTGTCCGAACTATCATCCTCATCTTTGTTGCCATATTTATCACAACGTTTAGGCCGGACACATTGCACAGTGGATAAAGGCGTTAGTTATATCCCGTGACAGGACCCAAAGAGTATGAGTTCAATACCTGGTTAAGACGGTGGAGAAATTTGAGAGGGGAATTAACAGGAGATAACTGATAACTGACATCCATTAAATATGGCACGTGGAACTAGAACAGTCTACCCAAGCGACCGAAATAAAGGGTTCAGTTCGACATTCCACCCACCTGAAGAAGACCGGAGTGTATAACGACCGAAACGTTGTGATAAATATGGCAACAAATATGAGGATGATAGTCCGAATAATGTAAATAGGGTAAATTTACATTTTATAAAATATCTCCAAGAGTCTACCTAGTCTGTAGTTAAAAGAGTATACTTGCAGATCTTAAGGGAAAGGAGTCTGGAACAAAAAAAAACTGTCAAATAAAGCGATCGAAAAGATTTTCCACCTTTGACATGAAGATGGAGTGTGTCAAAATATCTTGATTGTTGTAATATAATGGCAAATGTACAAATAATAATAGCCGTTTTCCTACGAGGAAACATACAATATTTACATTGTTCGGACTATCGTCCTCATCTTTGTTGCGATATTTATTACAATATTTTGGCCGTTGTACGCTCCGGCCTTCTTCAGTTGGTTGGAATATCGAACTGAACCCTTTATTTCACTCGCTGGAGTAGACTGTTCTAGTTCCACGTGCCATGTCTAATGGATGTCAGTTATCAGTTATCTCCTATTAATTCCCTTCTCCAAGTTCTCCACTGCATTAGCCAGGTATTGACCTCACAACTCTTTGGGTCCTGTCACTGGATCTAAGTAACGCCTTTATCCACTGTGCCAGTATTCATTGACAGTGCAGCCCGTATTGCTGAATTTTTAAAAAAATCTTTCATTTAATACATTTTTACAGAAAAATGTTTTTAAAGTCCAGTAGCTATTATAGCTCTTTCCATAACTGATGGATATTTTTGTTCTAACCCTTATTTGGAACGTTACTTTTTTTTTAAGCATTTCGCCCCAAGCAAGGCGAGAGTGCCATAAGAACGCAAGGGGTTACAGAAAGTGGGAACAAGAGTAAAGAGAGTTGTTTGCGGAAACGAAATAGAGAAACACAGAGATCAAGATGAAGGCATCAGAAGATGTCGATTGACCTTACATTTGAGTAGTTGAAGATTATAGCTGACAGGAAGTGCCAGTGCTATACATTTCAGTTGTTGCTATTGTTGGTAGTCTTCAAGTGATATAGTTTCTGTTATTTGGCATAATTCTTTGTGAATCCGTTGCGGCAATCCACAATGTTTAAAGAAAGGAGTTATTGGAGAAGACCCAGAGATTTCACTCGCTCAAAGCAATTCTTCAACATTGATTTTAGAAAGCGGCTGTATGCAGCTGACATTTGAGATATTTCTTAATGTTTTTGGAGCCATGCATGGCATCCATGACGAGGTTATTTAATAACATGACTCGAGTTATCGTGTTGATCAGTGTCTAGGACATGGAGCAAGTATAAACAAAATAGTAAGTTAGAAAAAAACCGGGTAGACCAGAGAAGATGTCAAACCCTGAATAGAGAAAACGCAAAGTATTTAATTTTGAAAATAGAAAAGAAAAAACATTACAGTCGATAAAAAAAGATAAAGACAAAACAGAAAGGTCACAAAAACAAAAAAAATATGTGATGTGACAACAGATGACATCAACAGATCAATTCGTCTTGAAAAGTAAAAAAAAAAATCAGAATATCATAAATGAAAAACAAATTTCTGTCTGAATGTCTGTGGTTGAGGAGTTATCATTAGTTACACTATTTATATTCGAAATATTGTCCTTACATTTGTTGTTGCTATCACAACATTTCGGTTGGATAAAAACAACAAAGATGAGGACGATAGTCCAAATATGAATAGTGTAAATAAAGAGAAATATATTGCCAGAAAAAAAGTAATCACTTGCATTTACATACACGGAAGGAAAGAAAATTATCAACAATTGAAGAGTTGGAAGACAGCTTACAGAAAATATATATGAGATTGTAGGTAATTGAATGACAATAATATTCAATGATGATTCTTATTCTTCTATGAACAGCGTCCCTTAAGGACAAAAAGTGATCACGGCTCTCCGCTACTTCCTATCTCTTAGCAAGTTTTTATCCTATCCCCGTTCTTCTATCGATTCACACAAGCATTCAGGTAAATATCTAAATGACTATCTCTATTCCGCTTGCCCACACTATCCCTACTGAGTGTTAAGTATTCTAAGCCTTCTTTCCTTATATATATATATATATATATATATATATATATATGTCCAAGGAATTCCTGCTGTCTTTTCTGATTATCAGTGTTCTTTCCGTTAACATTTTCTTTCAGACTCATTGTTATACACGATCTGTCCAAGGTATCCTCAGTAGCCTTTTGTAGAATCACATTTCTGTTGTTTCTAGTATGTTCTTCATTAGTTGGACGATTTTCCAACATTCACTTCCATATAAGACGATATATAACATATAGCACTCTTTTATTTGTTTTTAAAGATTTTTTTTATTCAACACGCTGCTTATCATTTGAAATGCTTCTTTCGCAAGTCTAGTGCCTGTGCGGATCCCGGCCTCGCATTTTCCGTCCTGTTAAAAGGCTTACGAGATATTTAAATAATGAATA